CCACCTGGATGCGTTCCTGGGTGATGTACTCTAGGTGACCCTGCTCTGGCAGGGGGCTTGGACTAGATGATCTTTCGAGGTCCCTTCCAACCTCTAGGATTCTATGATTCTGTGATTCTATGAACTGCCCCTGTGGGCCACAATTGCATCAAACCCATTGTGTCCAGGCTGCCTGTGCTCTTGTTAACTCTGAAACCTAATGATGGCAAAGTTAACAGTGTTTTGCTCTGGCATCCTTCATCCACAATGACCAGAGCTCCCTGCTCCATTGTCTCCCACCCCGCGGGATGGCTCCAAATCAGGAAGATAGGCACTTCCTAAACTTTTTTTTTTTTTTTTTTTTTTTCCAGAATTTTCCCCAAATTCCTCAGCTGGGGCAAATTCACCCCGGAAAAAAAAAAAGGGCTGGGCTCATTGGTGCTGGAGCTGCCAGCACAGGACCGAACCCTCTGGATTTGCTCCAGCTCCAGCCACCTTCCCTGCTCCAAATCCCTTAATGCTTTAACCAGATTGAAAAAAAAATAAGCTTCTCCCTGAACTCTGGTGCATTTCAGGCGGGAGACATGGACCCAGGGACCTTCTGGCTGCTGTTTGGGCTGAAAAAACTGGATTTTTATCCAGCTGCCCCAAGCTAAGCACCTGCCACCTGGTTTCTCTCTGCTATAGCCCATCTGCTGGGATTTTTTCCCTAGGGAAAACCAAAACTCTTAAAAATTACCTTTAAAAATACCTTTTCATTTACCTTGGAATTTTTTCCTTAGAGGAGCTGAAAAATCTTTACATTTACCTTTAAATTTTCATTTAAAGGTAAAATATATATACATTTATATAAAATTTATATAAATTATCCTTAAATTCTTCTCCCAGTGAAAAATAAGCTTTCGATTTGCATTTTTAACCTGGCAGGTTTTTTTTCCTATGAAAAAATATCTGTTTAAATTCACCTTTAAAAGTAACATTTTTTCCCTGTGGAAAACACAACACCTTTAAATTTACCTTTTAAAAATACTTTGATTTTTTTTTTTTCCAGGGGAAAAAAACATCATTACATTTACCTGCAAAAATACTCTTAATTTTTTTTTCTATGGAAAATATCTTTCAATTCACCTTTAAAAGAATAACTGAATTTTTTTCTCTCTGGAAAAAACAAACCACCTTTATACACTTTAAAAATACCCTTTTTTTAATATATATCACTGAGGGAAAAATATTACCTTTCAATTCACATTTAAAAATACCCTGAATTTTTTCCATATGGGAAAAAAACACCTTTAAATGTAATTTTTAAAAATACCCTTCAATTTTTTACATAGGGAAAAAAAGTACCTTTAAAAAGACATTTAACTTTACCTCTAATTTTTTTTCCCTAGGGAAAAAAATATCTTTACATTTACCTTTAAGAGGACACTTTTTTGTTTTCCCCTTGGAAAATACCCTTACATTTTTTTCCTATTGAAAAAAACCAAACCACCTTTAAATTCACCTTTAAAACTACACTGAAAGATTTTCCCAATGGAAAAAAAAACCTTTAAATTTACCTATCAATTTGTCTGTTTTTTTTTTTTTCCCCTCCTTTTTTTTTCCCTGAAGTCCAACTATTTATGACGGAGCCGATAGGAGCAGCCGGGCTGTGGAGCCACATCCCTTGGGAAAATCCCCAGCGGCTTTTCTCACGACCCTGGGGGTGGGTTGGGGGGTGGGGCAGAAGGCGCCGTATCCTCTGGAGAGGCCAAATTTGGGAAGAAATTTTTAAAAAATTAAATTAAATAATAGCAATACTACGTGACTTTGCTATAGATAGAAACTCGTTTTAACCCATGATGGGGGAGACGGAAGTGGCAATGGGAACAGGATGGGGATGTGAAAGGGATGGGATTAGGGATGGGATTGAGGATGACATAGGAATGGGGTGGGGATGGGAAGGGATGGGATTGGGGGTGGGATGAAAATGGGATGAGGTGGGGATGGGATTGTAGATGGGATAGGAATGAGGATGGGATGGGGATGGGATTGCAGATGAGATGGGGATGGGATGAAGATGGGATGGAGATGAGGGTGGGAATGAAGATGCAATGGGTTAGGGATAGGGACTGCAGATGGGATGGAGTGGGGATCAGGATGGGAATGAAGATGGAATGGGTTAGGGATGGGGGTGGGATTGCAGATGTGATGGGGATGGGATTGCAGATGGGATGGGGATGGTTACGAGGCTGGGATTCAGGATGGGGATGAGATTGGGGATGGATTGGGGATGAAGATGAGGAAGTGGATGCCAAGTGTCACCCTGTTTCACTTTTCCCCATCATCTCATCATGTTTGAAAGGAAACCAGTGGGAAAAACACTCATTTTGGGGCTAAAACCTATCTTTTTCTCTATATTTGTCCTCTTGGTCCCTACAACATCATGTGCCAGGACCCAGGAGTGACCCCACGCCATGTAATTCCCTTTTATCATGGAAAAACAACCTTCAAGGAGGGAAAAACAGCCTTCAAGGAGGGAAAACTGGGAGCTGGGACCCCCACCCCACATCCTGCTGGGAGGAAACACCAGTGCCATTGTTTCTGGGGCTGTTTCCTTTCCCCAAATGCCTCTCCTTGGCTGGGAACGCCAAGGGATGTTT